CTTCCTTCCTCCGGTCGCATTAGGTAGGGGCCCTAGCAAGTCGATCCCCCATCTAGCGAATGGTAATGATATGGTCATTGGAGTGTAAAAGGTCGCGGGCCGCCCAGGTACTGGTGCGTAGAGCTGACATATTTTGCACTTCTTTGTGTGCCCAAAACAGTCCTGCTGAATAGTTGGCCAATAGTAACCCTGCAGGATGATTTTCCTAGCCAGGGTTTTTGGCCCCTGATGGCTGGAGCAGATACCTTCGTGAATTTCTTCCATCACAGCGGCTGCCTGATCGGGTGGAAGGCATTTCAGATATGGCCCCCCGAACGTCTTTTTGTACAGCTGTCCGTCCACTAGTTCGAACATTGGGGCTCTTCGCTGTATACAAGTGAGGTTGTACACGTCATTTTTATCGTTCGGCAAAGTCCCATCCTTCAGGTAATTTGTCAAGTCAGTGACCCAGCTTGGAACGGCATAGGACACGGCATCTACCCGCACAACCATTGTTGCCGGTGTGGTCAGTATTTCTTTCTGGGCGAACCTCTGGATGTGTGCGGGGATGCCCGGGGCATGATCATCCCGAACGGCGCATTCCAGTTTGGATAGGATGTCTGCCTCACTGTTTTCGATCCTGGGAATCTGGTCAATCACCACCTGTTCGAACCTGCCGATTTCTTCCTCAACCAGTTCCTTGTAGGCTTTTAGCCGTTCTTCCCTAACCTCGGCAGATCCATTAATCTGGCTTACCACCAGCTGACTATCCGAACGGACCTTTAATCTGCTGGCCCCCAGGGCCTTGGCATATTTTAAACCAGCAATAAGGGCCTCATACTCGGCCTCATTGTTGGTTACCTTGAAGTCAAACTGTACGGAGTAGTATGCCTTGAACCCCTCGGGGCATGTGATCACAGCACCCCCACCACAGCCTTTGCTGCTGGATGCTCCATCCACATACATTTCCCACCAATGGTCCTGTACTCCTCCGTTCGCTCCTTCTTCAGTTGATCTGGCAGTGCATTCGGCAATGAAGTCAGCCAAAGCCTGTCCCTTGATCGTGGGGCGAGGCTTGAAGTCTATTTCATACTGCCCGATCAGGAGGGACCACTTGGTGATACGCCCACTTGCCATAGGATTTCTCAGTATGGTGGCCAGGGGCTGGGTGGTGTAGATGGTGACTGGGTGGGCCTGGAAATAGGGTGCCAGTCGCTTGATGGTAGCAATCAATGCTAAAATGGTTTTTTCCAGTAGGGTGTACCTGGTTTCTGGCCCGTTCAGGGCTTTGCTCACAAAGTATATAGGGCGCTGAACGCCCTCATCTTCCTTTAATAAAACAGAGCTGACCGCCAGATCAGCCACAGCCAGATACATATAGAGATGTTCCCCTGGGTCTGCTTTAGTTAAGACCAGGGGGGAAGACAGGTACAACTTGAATTCTTCAAAAGCTGCCTGACATTCTGCTGTCCATTCGAACGGGTTGGCCTTTTTCATTATTTGGAAAAATGGAATGGCGCGATCGGCCAGTTTAGCCATAAATCGGCTCAAAGCCGCTAACCTTCCGGTCAACTTCTGAACTTCTTTCAAGTTCCGCGGTGCTTCCATGTCCATGATTGCCTTTACTTTCTCAGGATTAGGCTCAATCCCCCGCTCGCTCATCATATAACCCAAAAATTTGCCCCCCTTGACTGCGAAGGCGCACTTTTTTGGATTCAGTCTCATGTTGGCCTTCTGCATGATCCCGAAGACCCTTTCCATATCCCGGACATGATCCTCCTTCTTCCTGCTCTTGATTAGGATGTCATCTACATATGCCTCCATGGTTACCCCTAGTACCTCCTTGAAGAGTATGCCGATCATTCTTTGAAAAGTGGCCATTGCATTCTTCAACCCGAACGGCATGACGATATAGCAGAACACGCCGTCCGAGGTGACGAACGCAGTTTTTTCTGCATCATCTGGGTGCATGAAGACTTGGTGATAACCCCGGAAGGCATCCATAAAGCTCAGCAGTTCACATCCTGCCGTTTCGTCCACCAGCAGGTCTATTCGTGGGACAGGATAGGGGTCCATGGGGCAGGCTTTGTTCAGATCAGAGTAGTCCACACACATTCTCCAAGTAGCTCCTTTTGGAGCAAGGACCACATTAGCCAACCATTCGACATGGATGACTGGTCTAATGTGCCTGATTCTCAGTAAGGTGGCTACCTCCTGCTTTGTGAATTCCCGCCGTTCGGCCGCCTGATATCTCTTCTTCTGTTGGACTGGCCTGGCATCAGGCCGAACGGCCAACTTGTGGCAGATGAGGGCCGGATCAATTCCCGGCATGTCTTCGGGTCCTCGGGCAAATAGGACCTGGAATCTCTTCAGGACAGCGATCACCCCCTCCCTGGTTCCCCCTTCAAGGTCCACCCCGATCGCAATCTTACGATCGGGAGGGGAATCAAGCTCGATGTATTCTAAGAGGGTGGCTGGCTCGGGGCGTCCCTCGAACTCCGTACGCCGGGTCTGTACCTCAATGCTGTTTACCCGCTGTCCCCGGGTGGTCATTTGTTTCAAAGCTTCCCGGTAGCACGTTCGGGCTATGGCAGGATCTGTTCAAGCCACTCCTACACCAGTGTCAGTTGGGAATTTGATGCATGAGTGTCGAACAGAGGCAATTGCCTCCAAATCTTCTAGCCCCGGACGGCCCAATATGGCATTGTGGGCACATGCAATATCCACCACCACAAACGTCATCCGGACTGCCGCTCGGTGAATTTCATCACCAATTTCCACCAGAAGCTGGATGGTGCCCTCTGCCTCTATTACATTGCCGGTGAAGCTAGCCAGCGGTGTCTTCAGCTTGGTCAGCTGGTCCTTCTTTAGCTTCATCTTCTCCAACGTGCGTAAATACAGCACGTTCACACTACTTCCCGTGTCCACCAGAACTCGGTGGATCAAGGCGTTGTCTATACACATACTCACCACTAGCTCGTCCCTGTGCGGACTTGGTGAGTTGGGTAAATCAGCCGCCCCGAACGTGATTGGCTCTAGGCGGCCCTTCTTTGTGGGAGGTGCAGCTACAGTGGCGACATAGAGGCTGCGCTCAAATTTCTTACGTTCGGCGGCCGTATCCCCGGTCTCTCCCCCGCCAAAGATGACTTTCACCTCCAATCGTGGCTTTTTTCCTGGATTCCCAGACCCCTCAGCCTCCTCTATAGGGGGAAGGTATGAATCATTACTGGGTTCTGCATCCCGCTGGGCATCCCGCTTCCAGCTATTGGATCGGGGAGGGCGCTGATTGGGGGAAGGGCTGTTCGGGTTGGTGCTGACATACTTCCTCAGGTAGCCCTTTCGGATCAGGTCCTCAATTGCCACATGTAGGGCGTGGCAATCCTTCGTGAGGTGCCCATTCCGCTGGTGGTATCTGCAGTAGGAGCTTGGGGTAGGTCCCATCACGGACCTTGTGTCAGTAGGGGGAGGAATAGCGTTGTGTTCCAAGTGGAAAACACCGGCTATAGACATGACCAGGGGGGTGAAGCGTGTAGTCCTTCGATGAGGTGCTGCAGTTGCTGGTGCGGGTCCCAGACGTTCTGCCAGTCTTGAAGTGGGAGGTTGCGGGGCCGTTCGGTCCCTTATCCTGATCTCTTCTTCCAGGGCCGCATAGTTCCTGGCCCTTTCCAGGATGTCTGGGTAGCTGGTCCCCGGATTTCTCTTCAGCTCCCTGTATAAATCTCCCGTCTGAAGGGCATCGGTGAAAAGAAGGATGGCAGTCTCATCTGTCATGCCGGTCACCTTCAGGGTTTCGGTCCTCCACCTAGTGAGGAATCCGGAGATTGATTCTTTAGGCCCCTGCCTCACACTGGTTAGATACCCGAAATGTAATTTCGGGGTTGTGCTGGAGGCGAACTAAGCCAAGAACAAGGTGGATAGCTCCGCAAAGCTCCCGATCGACCCGGGTTGTAATGTTCCGAACCATTCCTGGGCTGGTCCCCGAAGGGTACTGAAGAACAGCCTGCATATTGCCGCGTCGGTGGCCCCCAATAGCATGAGGCCACCCTGGTAACTCCTCAGGTGTACGTGGGGATCTCCCACCCCATCGTATGCTAAGCCGGTCGAGGGACGGCAGTCCTTCAGGATTTCGGCATTCATGATTTCCCTAGTAAAGGGAGAGGTGATCCCAACCCGTGCTGGCGGGGTTTGTTGGGGCGCCCGGTTGACCTGCTCTCTGAGCTCAGTCATCTGCCTCCTCATTTCGGCCATTTCGTCGTCTTGGGCCGTTCGGGGAGTATGTGGCATCCTAGCATCGACATATTCTGGTATTCTGTTTTGGGGGGGAGCAGCTGTGTTAGCCCTCCTCCGGATGAATCGTTCCCCATCCCTCTGGATATACTGGAAGTGTTGTCCAACGGGATCTACCATGGGGGTAGGTTCCCTATATCCGTTTCGAGGGGCGGACGGGGTTCGACTGGTTGGTGCTCCTCGTCTGGGGGTATGGGCCCTCCAGTGGTTCCTGCGGTGTTCCTCGGAATGAACTGAGGCCATCGTGGTCTCAATGTCATCCTCTTCGTCGAAAGATGGCATGGGACGCAACGGGGATGGTGGCTCATGAGTTTCATCCGTGTAGCCCTGCTCCTGTTCGTCCGCCATGCGTTGCATGGCCTCCGCCATATCCCTCATCAACTGAGGGTTCATCCTTACATCCTGGGGGATGATTTGCTCGAACTCCCGGGTGGCACTGCCACTGGCGTGTCCTTGCCTGGACCACCCCTCAGAGGATCTATGGCCTCCTCGTCCTCTGGATGCAGAACTCGGTGTAGCGGTATGAAGCCTAGCCATTTCAAAAAATGGTGCTTAGATCAGCTGTTTTCCTTGAACTTTTAGTTTCGTTTCCCACAGACGGCGCCAATGTTGAGGTTTATTCCCGAAGATCCGAAAGCCCAACACAAGCCTCGGATATTGTAGGTATATAGGGTTGGATTAAAATGTGTATAAAATATAAAACAGTGAGATATTTGCTCAACTCAGAAGCCTACCGATATTCAATAAATATGTGATTACACTGAGACTACCCGAACGGTAGATGAATATGAGATTACAAGGATAGGAGATGTAAATCTATTGCTAAGCTCTGAGTATTAAAATGCTAACCCCCTTACAATGATCTAAACATGGATATTTATACTAAAATGGGGATGGGTAAGGTGGACACGTGGTCGAATCTGGTAGGCTATCACCTCTGCCATGTAAGCACCCATGCCCCCACTTGCTGCCGCCATGATCTAGCATTAAATGCGGCCTCCACTTGTTGATTGCCCGTTCGGTCAAGGGGTTCGGTGTGTGGGACCCCGTCATAGGTGATAATTTCTACCTGAAGTATCCCGAACGCCGATCGATATTTGGGCCTTGATACCTTGGCATAATCGTTACCCAGAATGTTCCAAGTATAAGTTTTATCCCGAATGCCGTTCGGGAGTTCTTTGGGCTTGCCGCTTCTTCCCGGATTTGGGCCTAGGGATATTGGGCCTGGACCCAATATCCCAACAGTAAACATACATAACAACATCACATCTTGGGATTGAATGAATAGCGGAAATATTCAATATTCAATCATGGGCCACACATGGCCAAAACGTAGGCACGCAGGCCCAAAACAAATGTATTTATTACAAAGTATCCATGAGCAAGTTTGTAGTTTAAAACAATAAAGGAGGCACGAACCACGTCTTCCTTTGGAATACTTCACCGAGCAAAGTGTGGATAGCTAGCCTTAGCTTCAACCTGAAATGGTGGGCCCCCCCGAAGGGGTCAGTACAAGTACCGAGCGAGTAGCAAGCTAAATGTAAAATAACTAACGTTTCAAGTATAAGACCCAAACATAGGATGATACATATACGTATAGTCCTTCCCCCAAGTTTGGAATACATATTAGTATGCATACACTTGGAAATACCCGATCCGTAGGTCAGTGTTTATTCGGGAAAATAATAGTAGCCAATATCCTTGACTTAAATCCCAACCCACCCATATACCTATGAGTGTATAGAACTCCTCCTTGTTCACATAAATTATCATAAGGACACCGCCCGGTCCTAGATCATTAAATGTAATCTTATGAGTTTTGAGGATACACGCCCGATCCTTGGGTACTCCACCCTATAACCGAGTTTTGAGGATAACCGCCCGATCCTTGGGTACTCCACCCTATATAACCGAGTTTTGAGGATAACCGCCCGATCCTTGGGTACTCCACCCTATATAACCGAGTTTTGAGGATAACCGCCCGATCCTTGGGTACTCCACCCTATATAACCGAGTTTTGAGGATAACCGCCCGATCCTTGGGTACTCCACCCTATAACCGAGTTTTGAGGATACACGCCCGATCCCTGGGTACTCCACCCGACCTATGACTTACCACATATCACACTAGATAGGGTCTATATCATATTATTACTAAAGACTAAACCAAGTCTTGGAATTACATCAATAAATATCAACCTTGACATTAAATCATCATATTTCATGCAATTCCATGCACAATATAAACACATAGGTTGTACGGGGTCAGCCCCTCCTTCGAACCGGACTTCGGTTCGCGTTTTCGGTGAAATTAAAATGTGGAGGCAGTAGCTTACCCGGCCCCGGGTATGCCCTATACACGGCGCCGGGTATGTTCGGAGTTTTGGGTCAACGGTCCGTTGACCCCCGAGTTGACCCCCGAAACGTGATCCGTTTGATCCGAAATTTTTATACAACCTATATCATGTCTAAAACAATCAATAAATGCCATTTTGGCCATCCAAAACATCACATATGTTTTTATACACATTTTCTACCTCCCACATGCATAATCATGTAGTTTTATTCACATAAACCTAATCATCTTGGCTAATCACATGCTTAAACTCTTTTAAACATCATTATGAATACTTATAACATTTATTTAGGTAATCTCATACTTAACTCAAGAGTTATAAGACATTAAGCCGTCCACTCACCTCGAATGAGCGTTACGAAGTTCTACCCTTCTCGGTTGGACTCCGATGAAACTCCGGCGAACTTTGATGAATTCCGGCGATAACTCCGGTGACTCCTTCAACTTTGTGAAAGTTCTTAAATCACCCTTGACAAGTGTCTAACAAGGTTTTATCATCACAAAACCCATATCAATACAAATAACCTCCAAAAGGTTATTTTCCGGTAAACCGGTCTCTTCGGCCTCTGAGTCCGTTCTTGGACTTAGAGCCATCTTTCAACCCCTCTTTCTACACCTTTAATATGTATAGAAATTTTAGGGTCCTTCATGACCTCCTTAATTAATAAGTTGTCCAAGAAAGGAGAAGAAAAGGTTAATGAAGTCATCACCTTAATTCCTCAAGCTTTTCTACACTTTCAACAACTCAAACCCCTTCCTTGAGCTCCCCCTTGCTTGGCTTGCCTTGCTATGGAGAATGATGGATGTGGAGTCCTTTCCTCTTGATTGGGGGTGGGCTGGCCGAACTGCTTAAGGAAGGAGGGTGGGGGGATGCATTTTTGTCTCAATAGTTAGGATGGTGTGGGAGGAGGCCCACCTCCTTTGTTTGATGCTTTTCACTTCACTTCACACACACCACACCATTCCCTCCTATTCATTCAGCCGCACACTCCCGTGATTTGGGTGATTAAAATTATGGGGTGGCCCCCACACATGTGGGAGGTCATCCCTTTAAATCCCAAACTGTACATTCGGCCCCGAAAGTTGTATTTCTCGGACTGTTTTAATTATATTTCATTTTATCGGGTCAAATAAAATATATTAAATGTCCATAACAATTATGGATCTTAAGAATGAATATACATTCCCCAACTTTAATTTAAAAGTCTCCGAAATTCATTTCGGACTGTTATCTGCAAAATTGCTGGTACTGGAAATTGGGCCCTGTTTGACAAACCGGTCAACCCAATGCCTTTCTCATGACCCATTATGAATGTCCACCACCATGTAACTATTATCTAGACCAAGATGAATATAACATGTGGTCTCGTGTTATCGGGTTACCCCCGCTCCGAGTGTGGGTCCCGCGTGGAATTTACTCTTCACGCAAAAGAATTAACAAAAATTTACAACATCGTAAATTCATTACTGGACACGCCATGTTCAATACATAATTTACATAAAGGTGAATATATTTGGGGACGGTGTTACAAAAAATGCAGGACCACTAGAAAGTAGGGCTGGGCACAGGCCAGGTCGGGAGGGGTAATGCAAAATAAAATGGAACCGCCGATTCCATTGTACGGTTCAGTCCGTTCCGGGTATTACAAATTTCAAAATAGGAACCGGAAATTACCCGGCCCGTATGAAACGGGTCGGTCCGGTCCGTGTTTTACGGTTTCTATTCTCATGTCTTGAAATTAGTAAAAACTCACGAAGTTCCAAAAATCAATAATCAATAATATAGAACATTAGCAAGTTTCAAAATAACAACATAGTGGTGCACATATAACACAAGCGAAAAGTCCAATACTCCATAATTTCTTGTATATAAGTTTCGAACAATTAAAGAAATTCCAAAAATATGCAACATAGCCAAAATACATATTTTCTAACATTTGTATTTAAACATGTTGTCTAACATCACATATTAAAGTGATTGCTTTTTTATATATTAAATTTTCAGTATTAGCCAAAGTTGACACATACGTGGTGGGTGGTAAACACAATTTATATATTTTAGTAACAATATAATAAAAAAAAATATAACAAAATCATCTTTAACAAATAATTAAATTCCATAGAAAGGAATAATTCAATAACAATAAAAAGTAATTAGATATTTATGAAACATTTAATCAATAATTTGAAAACGAAAGGATGTTACTACAACTCAATTTAAAATCCTACTTCTAGCAAAGGAAATAAAACTATTTCAAAACCGATTATCACAAAACTATTAATAAATTAATATACAATATATATAACGGGCCGGGCTGGGTACCCGTTATTTTTTAATTTTGGAACCGGTCCGGTTCTTTAAAAAAAAAATACCTGACCCTACCCGGACCGTTTTATGGCATCAAAAAATGGAACCGGCCCATTTTGAACCCGAACCGCCATTATCCGGACGGGACCGCGGTTCCAAGACCGTTTGCCCACTCCTACTAGAAAGTCCAACATAGCTAATTAACATGCTATTTTACCGGGGGTGATTCCGGAAAACTGCGAAATACTTGAATCAGACAATCAGTTAGTGCAATTCAACTGAGCTCTTCTTGACAACTGCTAATTAATCAATTTCGGGGTACTCCTTATGCTTTTGATTTGTTTGACCAACTTTAATAATTAAAGTTCTAAAAATCAAATTAGTCAAAACAAACATTTGATGAAATTGGGAGTAACTAATTCTAAAAGCTAATTGCTACAAATGTCAAAAGACTGAAATCAAGAAGGCTAAATCGTCGTTGAGGGATTGCTTTTTTGAAAATGTTAGCATTTGTAATCCATAGTAACATTGTTTTAGCTAAGTCCTAACGGTGCATCTTTCAACTATCCTTTTTGTTCACTTTTTACTTGATTTTTATAAAGTGAAGTATAATTAGAAATTCAAAGGAATTTTATCTTACATAAATGGGTGCAACTGTGCAAGTCAAACGTCGAAAATTGTTTGCCGACATGGAATCTGAACACGCAACTAAAACTTTACAGGAAATCTCTGCAAAACAAAAGGCGACACTGTATGCAGACTAGATCACAGTCCAGAGATTTCCCTTGGGTCTAGTTTTCCTTTTTATTTTATTATATTTATTTTGTTACTTTTTTCTCTGTATTTATCCTTTTATTTGTCTTCTTGTACTGTATTTTTTCTTTTTTTATGAATAAATCGTTCTTTTTTCTTAAAAAAAGTCAAACGTGAGGTTGCTTTCAAGGAGAGCAATCATTATATTGTTACACTAGTTTATCTAAATCTGCTGCTAATTTGTCTGTTTTCATATGAAAGGAGTGTAATAAGATATAGAGTAAATCTAAAAACATTATAATTGTGAATGTGAGTTAGAACCTTTGAATTATTTCAATACATTATAAGCATAAGATATTGTACACTTATTAAGTCATTGTACTTCTTTTCTTCATGGGTTTAAATACCCCGCATCCGTTTAATATTTTTAAGAAGCTCTTTTAAACAGCTAGCGTCTAGCTAATTCGTCGCAACCACCGTTACTTACATCAAAGTAAATGTGTGAATTAGCATATTGAGTAGCATTTGATGATTTGAATGAAAGAATTTCATTGAGCAATAAATTCCGTTTTAAGACGAGGGTGCTAGAGACTCCGTTCCTGGGGAATAATGTAATGTCATTTAAATACTTTCTGAGTTTTATTGTAGTGATTTACTTAGTAAAATTCTCAAATTCCAAAGTCAAATTATTTAAATGTATTTCAAATTTTGACTAAGAATAAAATAAAAGGGAAATTTTACGGGGTATAATTAATATATATTGAGTTTCCCGAAATACGACTACTTTTGTTCTTCGACATTTATATGACTAAAAAAATCATCATATTAAAATTTCGAAAGACAAAAAATACTTTTATTAAAAAAGTTGCATTTTGCGCTGCTTTCATCTAAAAATACTGCACTATATGAAGAAGTTACTGCACAACATTTATTGCATTTTATGCAAGTATTACTGCACAACATTACAGTTTTTTTAAAGCATTACGAAAATGTTATGAATTTATCGTTCTTTATTTTCCTTCTTTAGATTTGATAAGTTTAGTTTTTTTCCTTGCATCACTACACCGGCTCAATATTCATGTATATTCAGGTGGCCAATAACACATACTCCCTTCGTCCCAAACACATTTGTCAATTTGACTTTTCTTTTTTTGCAATGCTTTCCAGCCTATTATAGTTTTTGTTTAATGTTAAGGCCAACATCATTGAACTGGGATGTACGATTCGAACTCATGGCCACCTCCTTCGGAGTGTCACAGTGATGTCATCAAACCACAAGGTACTTGACATCAATTTGACTTTTCTTGGTTAATGACAATCAACTTTGACCAATAGAATTATTTTGAATATGAAAGTTATATTAAAATGTTCCTTATTTAAAATATTTTCATAAAAGTATAAAATTTATAAATTTATGAATTATATACAAATGTAATAAGCAAAATTGTTATCTGATAAGTCCGTATTTAGACATGCATTTGATGCGTGTTGGGATCGGTTTTGATGGTTTTCCCTAGCTTTAAGGTGTTACAAGTCTCAATTTTAGCTCAAGTTATGTTTACCGGGCGTTGAGGAGCAAAGTTGTGAATTTAGAGTTCGGCACCGGCACTTGAGGAGCAATCGGGATGATTCGATATGCATTAGAGAGTGGATTGAGAGCTTTGGAGGCCAGCGGGAGGTTCACGATGAAGATTTGATGACAAAAGAGCTCTAGGATTGGTTATGAAATCAAAAGAAGACGGAAAGAGCTTGAAAACGGCGATCAGGATGACCTTCTGTCAATCGTTCAAGAATATCTCCTTGTAGAAACTTCCAAAGAATACGATTCAAAGTCCATGTGAAAGATAACTTCAAGGGCTACAAATGATATGAAGACACCTTTGCTAGAATCCGAGAGGAAGAAGGTGAAAACAGACGATGAAATCAGATGATCTCTGCTGCGATTTCAGAATGATACCTTCCACCGTTTTGATCATATCTCTTGATTGGATGATTCCAATCACATTCGGCAAATTGGGGTGGATAGAGGACTTCATTATCTACAACTTTCATGAAGGAAGAGTTGCCAAATTCGGAAGTTAAGTAGGCACGATAGTGCCCTCAAAGTCAGGCACGATCGTGCGTGAAGAGAAAGCATCGCGGAGCTACTGCCAGCCAGGCACGATCGTGCCTGGAGGGAGGCACGATCGTGCCTGCCCAAAATGCGCGTTTTTGCTCCGGAGGCACGATCGAAGGCACGATCGTGCCTGGCACCGTGCCTGCCTCCGGAAATCCCAATTCAGCTCAAATTTCACCCGATTTTTCTATTTAAACAGCCTGTAAACCCCCGTTTTGAAGGGGGGAGCTTAGATAGAGTGCCTAGCACGAATTTTAGAGGGCTTTTCAGCCTTGTTCATCAATCTTTTGGGATTCTTTGTAAGTTCCACCTTTTTAATTAATGACAATTAATTCTATTCTTCCCAATTCTATTGATTCTTCAATTATGAATTGTGACTAGTTTAATTAGGGATTGAGATTGATGAAGGGGTTGATCATGATGTATGGCTAGTTTCTTGATGGATTAATTGCATGAATGCCGTTTAATTTGTGTTTGAATAATTTAACTGATATCTTTTGTAACCTAGAACGCGCGCTCGAATTACAATTGCTTGTAGAATAAATTAAGAGAGATCTAGTTTATTCTAGGACACATTCACACACACTTAATCGTTCGTTAAGAGATTAGTAGCGATTAAGGGGCCGTAAGCTCGCTCGTCTTGGCAATAATTTAGGATCATGACGCATGAGAGATCGACCTGGTCCCCTAAATTATTGTACTCTACGCCGCGAGAGCGGTAAGAACTTAGTAATGATTAGCTAGGCTCAATTGAATTAATTTCATGTAATTAGGCCTGATCTGCCAGAAA